CTACCTATAGCAGATAGGGCGGAATGACAGGTTCAGCAACGCCCAGGAATTACAAGCAGCAAATTCTGCTACTGCTAGTGCTATCACGGAGAATCGAAGCAAATATTATAGTGGTACCGTGGCATGTCCATTCTGGGTCAGCGTTGTATAGGTTGCATGGATTAGGATAAGTTCCTGCTTGCTGTTGGCGTTGCTGCGGTGAGGCTGGCTGGAATAATTGTCGGAGAACTCTTTGGCTTCGTACTCTCTTCACTTCTTTCTCCGCACAAAACTGTTCAATCCGTGGGAGGCCCTGTTATTCAAATAAAGTTCTGAACCCTCAATCAAGCGTGTAGTTCTAAAACTTTGGTAATGGAAATTGTAGTTTTGTAGCTTTTCTCATAACTATCGTCCTATCGAACTGATGATCAATAAACATCACGCGGTTTGCTACAATCAAGTTAGTATAAGGAGTCGTTTACATATCAGCAGAGGGGTCTTCCAAATTGCAAATGATTACGATTGACCATATAATATTGTAATTTTGGCACAATAGCACAATACTAATAGCGATACCCGGATTTAACATTTAAACAATTTGTAATCGTATTGCCATGCAGTGTTTGTGTAACTGTAGTACTAGTTGGTAATCGCTTTTCTTGTCAAAAAGTTAATATTTGTTTCCTTCGATAGTAAATTATTTTGTCCCAAATTCATATATTTTCTAATAATACAAAATTGTTTTTAGACCAATTATACAATGTCAATAAGTCATGTGGCATGTAAGGCGCCAAAGACAAATTGCTAAAAGGCTCGGCGCAACTGCAGAAAACTGCCACTAACTGCTACAAACTGCCACTAACTGCTACAAACTGCCACTAACTGCTACAAACTGCCACTAACTGCTGCAAACTGCGCGCGCAGTGCGTGGGCGCGATTGTAGCAGTTAGTGGCAGTTAGTGGCAGTTAGTGGCAGTTTGTAGCAGTTAGTGGCAGTTTGTAACAGTTAGTGGCAGTTTGTGGCAGTTAGTGGCAGTTTGTTGCAGTTAGTGGCAGTTTGTAGCAGTTAGTGACAGTTTCTTTGCACTTTGCTCCTCCTGTGATATATACCAGTAGAAGAATCTACGAATCCCTCAAAAGTATCCAAAGTAAGTGGATCTTAAAATAAATTTTATAAATCAGGCTTTGTATTTAGGTAAGATTATAATTTATTTTTAAAACCACGGATAGTTTTAAATTTACTTTGTCGTATAAACAAGTTAATCCTGTTTTCATGAATGCGCGGCTTTGGCCGCCAGTTATTGCCTTATACATAAAATTGAATTTTAAATAGAAATGTGAATATATTAAACTCTGAAACTTTCAAAACGGAGGCTTATAAATATTATTATATTATGATTGTAAAATAAAGGATAAAATTTTTAATTTGTTTCACTAAAATTCGAAATTTCACTAATTTAACCGATGTTAAGTTTGATGTTATTGAAAATAAGTTAAATAAATAAGTTAATTATAATGGCACCCTACAATAGCCACGAGAGACAGAAAAAGAATTTATACAATAAAAGGATTGTAGAAGTGGAACATGGGACGTTTACACCGATAGTCCTATCAACCACTGGGGGTATGGGAAGGGAAGCTAATAAGTTCTTCAAGAAATTAGCGGATAAACTTTCTAGGAAATCAGGCCAACGATATAGTGAGGCAATGACATTTATTAGGAAGAGAGTAAGATTTGACCTTTTGAGAACAACAGTCATAGCTCTTCAAGAAAACAACAATTTCAAGAAAACTAGGAATATTGTGTCAAGGAAGACTTTATACCAGCCATTATGGGCAAAAGTTTTGTGCCTGATCAAATCAGAAAAATAGCTTCACTTCCTGCAAGAATGGGCGGGCTGAGCATTCCAGACTGCACATCAACAGCAGAGATGGAGTACACTAACTCAGTAAATGCTACAAAACAGCTCACAGAAGCAGTTTTTCAACAGCTTACTACTTTCCAACTAAACGAAGAACTGCAGCATGACATCATAAGTGAAGTAAAGAAGCGTAAGGAAGAGCTTTACAAACACCAACGTGAAACTATTATGAATGAGGTATCCCCATCAACACAAAGGCAATTAGAACTCCTTAGTGAAAAAGGAGCATCCATTTGGTTATCCACACTCCCTCTAAAAGCATGTGGGTACGTCCTTAACAAACAAGAATTCTTTGATGCCCTCTCACTCAGATATAATCTTACACTGTCTACAGCTAACAGAAGTTCCCTATGTGTATGTGGAAATCAAAATCATATCAACCATACTCTAACCTGCAAAATCGGAGGCTACGTTTCACTTAGACACAATTCACTAAGAGATACAATAGCTGAACTCCTAACCACTGTTTGCAAAGACGTTGAAACAGAACCCCAGCTTCTCTCCGTTCCTCACACACTTGAACTATCTAATGGAACAAATAGACAGGATGGTGCAAGACTGGACATTAGTGCGAGATCGTTTTGGTCGCCGCTGGACAGGGCATTCACAGATGTAAGGGTACTTCACCCTCAAGCCCAGTCCAACAGTGACAAGAGCATCTCACAGATGTACCAATCTCACGAGAAAAGCAAAAAACGTGAGTACAATGACAGAGTCCTCAATGTTGAAAAGGCTACCTTCACGCCACTGGTCATGGTGTTCAGTACTACAGGAGGAATGGCAACTGAGGCTTCACAGTTTCTAAAACATCTCGCTGAAAAGATCAGCCTAAAGAAAGGCCAACGGTATTGTGATGTGATGTCATTTGTCAGACGCAGACTGCGTTTTGATCTACTCAGAACCTGTATAATCTCTATCAGGGGGTACAGAGGTACCAGAACCCTTCCACCCACGGCAATAAGTGATTTGGACCTTAACCTGATCAACACTCTTAAACCCTAAAAGGTCATGGAGTGCTCTAGTTGGATGGGGGTCTAAACTACTTTTTGTTGTGATGTGATTTAGTGGTTTTTATATATATTATTACAAAGGGTTTTATTTTTATTTTTACCTCAGTTTCTAAATTTGTACCATTTTTACAGAATTTTATATAGGGTCATTGCTATATTATGTGTATATTGTTTGAATATTTTATTATTTCAAGAAAACAACAATTTTATTTAGTATCAGTTAAAGCAGACAAAAACATATTTTATATATATAACTAGTGCAAACATTAGACCATATATCTTAGGGGACTTGGAGTAGCAAGAGAGTGACCAGAAAGTATATGTATACTTTTACCAAAAATACGTCGAAATGAATCCAGGGTGATACAGGATCTGAGAGTGCAGACCATAAAGTTTACGCACCCACCCTTGCCTCCTGAATTCTTGGTTGGAAAGACAATTATGCAAAATTGGTCGTTTATACTCCAAGTCCCTTTGTTAATAGAAGTAGTATTATTTATGTCTGGAATTAGCTTCATTCAATAATAACAATATCAATATAATCAATATTAATATCAATATCAGACTAAACTATCAAATAAATAAATAAATTATCAAATATCAATTATTAATTCACTCTGATTAAAAAGTTATAAATTAGGATATCTAATATTTAAGAATTACAAATACAAGTTGTTAAAAACGCCCAAAATAGATCTGAGATATTTTCAGTCTGTAGTACAATAATGATAGCAATAGTTTAAATTATGTTATGTGCTGCTGCAATTAGATTAAATTACTGTAACTTAAAATTGTTTGGAGTCCAAGTCTCTTTTAAGTCAGCAGCCTGTGATTGTATTAATAGTGCTTTCGTTCTCAATTTTATCAAGTTAATGGAAGTTTCTAGACAATTGCTTGAAGTTAAAATTTTTTTATGAACAGTGTTCCAAAGCTTGGCTGCATTAAACAAAAAGGTATTTGATTTATTTAGAAGAATAACTGTTAGACTCGTTGCACGGTTTGAAATGTTGATAGCCTCATAAAGGGAGTATGGGCAGTGGTACTTGATAATCTTATATTTGATCCTTCGAACTTGATAATCTTAGAGAATTCTAAAATACAGTGATATTTGTACAAGTTTTGAGCCGTAAGAATTTTTAACCTATTAAAAATGGGTTTCGTATGCTCCTTTTCAAAATGTTTATGGCCTAGTATTTGCATGCCATATGGTCTAGTTCTTGCACATGTTGATTGTTTATCTAGATATGAGTCGAGATCACCAAAAAGGATTCTTATACAGTGCTTCTGTGTGATAAAAAGACTATCATTTGACCGTTCTTTGAGGACAACTCCCCAAACACTTATACCATAACTTAGATGTGATTCAAATAGAGCATTATGTTAGAGGAGAGAGAGGGTTAAAAAGTAGTAGTGCAGTAAAAATAGCAGAATTAGATATAAATTTGGAGCCAGTTGTTTAAACTGGCTTACTTATACTACTTAAAGGGTGTTTATTTAGTTTTCTATTGAATTTATATTGAATTTTTATATAGGGTAATTGTTATATTATGTGTATATTGTTTTTAATTTTATACGAAAGTTTAATGGCACCCTTAAATTTTTATGATAGAATCGTAAATGAATCAAAAGTTGAGAGAAATTTCCAGGTAACGATTTTCGAGGAACAAGCAATGTTAAAGTAGGGTTTTCGGGATGTTAAGGGTTCGTTTTTTAACTTATTCGCAATTATGGACTGCATGTAACTGCTTGTACTGGTCAAGAAATTTCTCTGCCTAGTAACATTGAGTATTGTAAATAGACACAGATCTTTTGGTGATTAAGTCTGTCCTGGCTCTTTCTTAGGGTTGCCCTCTTAACTTATATTTCGTTCTGATCTAGCTGAATGGATATATTGGATGTGATTTGTGAATCAATTTAATTGTGACTGTTTTTAGTCTCTGATAAAATTTTGGCATCAGCCTAGCATTTTTGTCTAACAGTCTAATCTATAAGTTATTTAGCATTTGAAATGTAGTCGTATCTTTGAATTTTGATAATGATCGATTTCATTTGTCAGGTATTGTAATGTCTTTACGTGGAACTGTCAAACAGTATATTTATGAGATACAAAATGACATGTCTTTGGAAAGCTGCAAGAAGTTAAGGGGGTTGGTTCATCTGCTATCAGATCAAAATCTTCAAGTTAATATGAATTAGAATCCATCTTTAATATATGACATTCGATTATACATGCAGATTGTATTGCAATAATAGAACCATTCTGGTACTTGTCTAAAAGTGTTCATTTATACTTTTATATACCATAAAGTCAAAAATCATTGTTATTTTAGAGAACCCTCATCAACTGCAAAAATAGACATATTCCTCGCCCTGTCTCTGTAATAGTGTATAATTTATCAAAATGTTCTCAGGAAGAAATCATAAGCTGCCTGCTTAGACAAGTGTCAGCAGGATCAGGAAAAGGAAAGCTCCTGTCTGAAATCATCTTGCTACTCACTGAAATGACTGTCTACCACTGCACCCACAAGTATCAATAACTGTACTAATGTATGTCTCAATGTCAGGTGATTATGTGTGATGATCATTTTGATTTCATTGTTTTAAATTTAAATTATTTTCATATCATAACAATAACATCAATTTGAAGTTTGGACTGTAATGTGTAATCAATCTACAGTATCAATCATTGAATCCCAATAGTATAATCGCTGCATTGCAACAATTTTGTCTTTTCATGACTCTTAAGTAGTGCTAATGTTTTTGTACATATTGATGATAACTAGGTACCATTTTTTGCTTGATTAGATACAAACGCCACATAGCTCCAAACCAACATGTTTACAGGTCAAACCAAGACATAGTAGATAATGTGGCTGCTGTTTTCTACGCTGTTACAACTAATGATTCTATCAATGTATTAGTGCGTGTTCTGGCTTACAGCTCATTGAGTGAGATCTCTTCTGTGGTCAAGAAGGTGACAAACTTTGTGATATTCTCATATTTTTATGATGCTGTAACTGGTAAATTATAAGAGTATTCATGGAAGGTAATATCCATACGATTTACTAATTTCATGATGCTCACTACAGGTTGATTATTTGCACATGTACTCTACATCCCCTTCTAGCGAGTTCTTAACAAGTTATCACAACTGTCTCCTTGTCTCTGGGGCTGTCACATCTGACCAACATGACTTTGTTATACAGAACCTTGCTGAGAGCAAAACTGTTGGGCCTAATGTTTTAAGGTATTCTATGATCAGTTCTAATGCTATTTAGGTATACAATATAGCTTGTATACTTGTTTCAAGAGTAGAAATCGTCCTAATTTGCATGCTGTTAATTTACTTCTTTGAATTGGATTGGTCTTTTAACTGTTAACCTTTTAAAATTGTATCTCAAAATCCAGGCGTTGTGTCAGTATGTTCCCACCGGAGAAAACAAAGAAACTACTGGAGAAAATACCAGACCTCTCCCAAAACTCACCTCATAGCATAATCTACAACCCAACAATATTCTCTGACGATCATGTCACTCAGGCCTGTAGAACTGTACTGAAAACAAGTAATGTTAAACCGCACCTCCAAATGCTTGCATTTCACATCCTCCTACAGCAAAAGGCGTACTGTCCAGAGCTTTTTAAGAAGCAGGCATTTGACTCTCGCGAGATGACAGCTTTGAAGATCATCGCAATGTCGCACCACACGGAGTGTGAAGAAAGTGGCCAGCTCATGACCGCTCTCCTTGATTTTCACAAGCATTTCTTCTTTAAAATTGGTGGCACGTACCCCAGTCTGTTTTTTCGGGTCGTTTGGAAGATTTACCATAACTCGAAGAGAGACCAGACTCTAAGAGAAATTGAGCAGACTGTGAGAGTAATGTTGTTTGATCAGCCGAAGTATGCTCTGTATGCTGTCAACTTTCTCAACTCAATACCTTTCCATCTCTACTCTCCAACACTTTTAGAGGTTTGTTATTAAGCAGAGAAAAAAGCAGCAATTTAGATATCTTTTGATCGATGTTACTTTAGATTATATTTTTTATCTCGTTTGCATGTATAATCAGACTCAACTTATGTCCTGTGAATAAATATCATATTACTTCAATCTACCATCACCTCAGGTTCTGCTACAGTTGGTTGAGTTTGTAACCACGCAACCTGTTGCTACTTTCAAATCAGCTTCTGATCATTACATGACGATCTTCAAGCACTACCTGACCTTACTGACCTACAGCCCTACACCTGTTATACGGTACTGCACTAGACTAGCACAGGAGGAGGACCTGGATTCTAAACAAATTGTTGCCCTCACCGATATGATCAAGTAAGTAATAACGTTATAAGTAGCTCAGTCCTGTCAATTTACCCAAATTTATATTGTAAATTTCCCAATTCACTGGTGAGTGTACAATGGATTTCTGAACGCCAATAAAAATCCATGATTAAATATTTTATGTCCACCCAGCTCAGTTATGCACCATCCCAAGCTGACGACCCTCACACCTGACCTGGCTGCACTGTGCCGCGCTCTAAGCAGGTTCCCTCTCCAACAATCCTACATGTTACTACTCTACCGATACCTCACGACTTACAGTATCAGCAAACTTCAGGCCTCCTTATTTGGGGCTACCAAGTTCATGTCTCAAGGGGCAGAGCAGGGTGGTATTTGCACTTACTTAGGTACATGATCTGAAATTATATTTATATAATTATAACCATAATTATAACCATTAATAATAACCATAATTATAACCATTAATAATAACCATAATTATAACCATTCCTGAGCCATTTGTCGGGTTTTAATGACTTCTGACATGCTTTCATAGTCTTATTATGTTTTCAATTGAGGGAACCAAATACTCGCCATCCCCAGAACGACCGATGCTGAAGCTAGATAAGATCTGCTCTACGATATCTCGTAAGAAATACATAAACCCTGCAGTTAGCTACACCGAGTTTGACATGAGCGTGTATCTGAACTCCCTGCACCTCACAATATCCCTCTCCTACTGTATCCACCTGGCACGTGATGACGAGTATCTGACATGTGTGGAATTCCAGCTGACTCCCCAGAACCCCAACTACCGGGCAGTAGAAAGTGTGTACGTGCCGGTACTCAGATCTGGGGATACAATCAGTGTGGTGGTGGAGACTCTGCGCCCGGCGGCTACTTCCATTAAGGCTGGTATTGAGTACACCCAACACAATCACCACTACCGGTCATCTCTGCCTGATCTGTCTGTTGAAATGGTTGATCTTCTCTGTCCCCTACCTCTCTCCAACTTCTCTCCTGATTTGGTGTTCTCTAAGTTGTGGGAGTTCTGTGAACAGCACCAGAAGTGTAGGGGAGATGGTGACGCTATGATCAGTAAGCTGCGTCCAGGAGAGGGGTTCCGGCTTAAACTCAGTTCTTTTAAACTTCCGGATAATAAGAACGACAAGAACGGGTTTTACATGTTTGGGCTGCCTCCCAAACATTTTGTTCTCATATTGTGTGTTCCTCAGTTCACTACTATGAAGATAGCTGTTGATTCGTGGGAGGTGTTCCCTGTTGTTTATAAACTTCTTACTGCATCACTGGATGCGTGATTTTTGGGGTTTCTTCTTAACATAATATGGATATATTTGATGTAATTGCTATGTTACACATTTGTGCTTATCGTGATTATCTGTCCGATGTCTTTCATGATTGATAACACTTGATTCATGAATAAAGCTCAATATCCTTTTTGTTCCGTACAATGTATAATTATTATTACAAATTTTAATCCAAAAATCATCATATTTTGTGCAAACGCTGTCTCTTGTCATATATATTCTTCGAATTTGAAGCGAACCAGTCTGAAAAGAGGAACCAATATAATATATTATAACTATCATATATAATAACTATCTCATAAGTTCTTATGTACATGTTCATGAGTCGCTTTAGATGCCTTGAATTGAATCTTTGGGTTTTGAGTTCTTTTTGGCTATAAAGCGATGTATAAATTTCTAGTTATATTATTATTATTATAATATATAAAATCTAGTTTTTTGCCAGCTTCATTAACGTATCTGTAATCAAAACTCGACACCACATTTAAAGTTAAAGATTTTAGCAAGGGTCAGACCAACAGTTCCCAACACTATCAGTAGAGCTCCCGCCACAGATACCATCTCGATAGACACACTAAACAAAGTAGCTTGTACAAGGAAAGCTAGGGCAGTGTCCAGATTTCTGAAGAGGGTGGCGGTGGTTGCTTTCTCGTACTCTAACGTCAGATTGGCTACCACAAAATACCCCACTTGAAACACTCCTGTTAGCACGAGCAGGTATCTGGGGGTGTAGCAGTCAGGCAGCAGAGGGAACGGAGTGCCGGAAATAATCGACTGGTAGCCAACTCCAATAACTAGCTGGGCGACCCCGATATAAAAAGAGATGGTCACACTGTTGACCGTTGCGCCCAATTTTCTCTGCATCACGTATACCACAGCCATGCAAAGAGCAGAGAAAACAGGCACCATGAAGTAGAACCAAGGCAACTGCTCTTCGTCCGTTTTGAAAAAGATTCCCGGTTTTGATATGAGAACCACACCACATAGCCCCAGAAACATGGTTAGGATGTCAACCAAAGTTAGCTTTTCCTTGATGAAGATCCTTGCGATAAATCCTACGAAGAGAGGTCCTGTCGAAACCAAAGCACCGGCATCTCCCAGAGGGAGTATCTGAAAGCTCCAAACCCTCGCTAGATAAGAGACAGTCCCGACCATCACCCTCGCTGCTACCAGCTTTTTGCTTGTAAACTCAAATATAGAGATCCCGTTCATGGCGATGACGACACTGAAAGTGCACACCGAATATATCCCTGTAATGACAACCAGCTCTCCAGTTGGGATGATATGGAGATACTTTGCTATTGATCCATTAATGGTAGCTAATAGGCTCGTTAAGATCATTAACCCTATCCCAGTTAATCGGTTTCTTGTTGAGGTACGTTTAGCTGACTCAGGCAAAGTAACAGCAAGGTTCGACTGATTATTGTCTGTCAAATCGGTTTCATCTATCGATTGCGCTGCTGGATTGCTGATAACAGTTCCCGCACCGTCTTTCTTTTCGGAGGTGGAAACAGAGTCGTTGGTCATCGCCGTCTCGAACTATCAATAACTCACTGATCTTGGCATTATGATTACGTCTTAAAAGAATGGGAAAATTAAATGAGTATCTAGAATCAAACTTCAGAGGCAACATAATATAAGGTTAACTGCGCCGTTGCTTAGCAACATCAAGAGATTGCACGTGCTCATGCTCACGCTATGACTATTCATAACTTTGGTTGTGATTGACATTTGTTTTTGATGCAGTAAAAAGTATCGGTAAATTATCGGTATAAGTAACTTATCAAGCTGCAACGTAATCCATTGTAGTAATCTCCGTTACTACGTAATACTAATCGGAAAAAGAGCAACAAGATTTATAAAACGAACGTAGAACTAGAAAGGATAAGTTTATCGGAAGTAATAAAACAATGGACCTTCTGTTGGGCCGCCAGCACGGTGCTTAGCGACTAGTAGTAGTACCATAGAGTCACGCAGACTATAATGGTCAGTTACTTTAGCTACCAACTGGCGGCACCCGTTGCTCTCGTTTCAGCTATCGCTGTTTTTTATAGAGCGAGATGATCTAATTTACCACTCACCTCGATCCTGCTCGACCCACCATTGTCGCTCATATTATACTAATGACTTGCATCCAATTGTATAATTGATGGACGCCATTAACCCCTTCAATACACAGGAAAATACGTTCACAAAAAACCTTCCCTATAGCAACCAAGACTGGATATCCACGTCCACGCTCAATAAAGAAGAAGAGAAGAACACCCAACACTCAGGATCACCTTACTCTTCGGCCCGATATATTATATATACAATGGAGATCCTCCTGGTATGCTGTATCTACTCGAGCGACCTTAACTTTATTAGCCAATTGGTGGGCGATACTCTCACTGGTGGGTGTCTAAATTTCATCGAAGTTAATATAATCGCTTAACTATGAGATTGAGTTACAAAACGAACATTTACGTCTTCAGTTTACAAATCAGTGATACACAAACATACTATGCGGGGGGACTACAGACCCCCTCAAAGTCCTTTTCAACGTTACTGCCAGGTTACATAGCACTGAAAATCAATAACATCAGAAATTCAAATTCAAAGCAATGCAGTCATAGTATTACAAAGCCCCAAAACGCAACACTGCTTCAAACTCTATTATAACATGAGCATGCAAATAACATAAATCATCTAAAAACTAAAAAGGGTAAAATAAAATAAGAATATAAACTAAGTCAGCTAAACAGTTATACAACAACTAATCTCACCAAAGAGATCCCTAGACACGCACAAAATATCTCAATTCTGAAACAGTGTTAATAAGGTGAAATAGGAACTCAATCTAGGTTCCAGGTACAACAACACGCGGGAAGCACTTTTAAGGGATCTCCTGAATAAATAGACACTTCGCCAGCCACCGGCCCATGCCATCTAGGTGCAAATGTATGCGTAGCAGTAATCCCCGGCTTTAAATGGAGGATTCTTAATTATATTATTAAAGTTCATGTCGGAGTAAGCGTAGTAGGCGTTAATGTTCTTTCTAACCTTATGGATTACACTACGATAAGCAGAATGAAGATCATATAATAATGCCTTTTTATCTAAGGAAGCAGGTTCATCTTTTCCTGAGAGATCCTTCAGGTCACCATTTTCCAGTAGAAGGCTTAACAGAGTGTTGAGCTCGTGTCCATAAACGAGGAAGTTTGCAGTGTATCCAGTGTTTCTGCTTTTTAAGCTGTTGAGTGATGAACAAATATAGTTCAGGCATTTGTCCCAAGTTTTGGGATTCTTACCCTCTATGACGAGTCTCAAACTTTGGTTAAGCCGTTTGTTGGTTCGCTCAGGGCCCCCCTTCGCTCAGCTTTCGATGAAGATCGACAATCATAAGGTTAACCATACATGTATTTTGCAGTTCAGAGACTTCAGCAAGGCCTGATAGAATTTTGCGCGGAAACCTCGGGCATTATCGCTGATTATCTCTCTCGGGACACCGTGAATCAGTACCCAGTTATGCATAATCAAAGCAATGTTTTGTTCTGTTTTCTGACTGTTCATGTTGGTGGCTGCAGCAACAACGTATCCGGAGTAAGCATCGGTCATGCTGAGGATATACTAATTGTTTCCTGAAGCTGTCAGACCAAGCTTCTCTGGTTCTATGTGGTCTAACACGAGAATGTCGTTGAAATGATCAGCTATGATGTGCTTTCTTTTGGCCTGGGAGTAAGCCTGCGGTTGTTTTACTCTTCCGCACGTGAAGCAAGCTTCGGCAAACAACTCTACGTCTGGGGACATTCCAGGCCAATAATAGTATCTGCGACAAATGTCCAGGGTCAATTTTATTCCTGGGTGGTTTCCCATCAATGAGGCACATCTGCAGAACGGCTTCTCTATTCTCATCGGGTACGCAGATAAGCCATCTCTCTTCCTCCTGCACTTTGTTTTCACAGGCACCCATTTCCGCATTATAATGCCGTTCGCCAGTTTCAACAAACTGAATTGTTTGAAGTAAGAAACCATTTCTTTAGGCGCTCTGAATGCTTGAATAGTTGGTGGCTTTTCTCCGTTGAGAAGCCATCGCTTGACAACGCTTAAAATTCGGTCGAAACTTTGAGATTTTGTATCACTGAGAGGGATAAGATCGTCGGAGAAAAGTTGGGCATCTGATCTTCAGGGGACTGGTTCACTGGAGTTTCAATCGGCGGTGATATTAAGTTGTTAGCAATGGCATTAACTTTGACTGAAACATCTCCAATCAGATTGGAGAGCCAAAGGGCTCTAGAGTCTAGAACTACTAGGAATATAATACACTGGGGTACAACAACCATGGCAAAATATTACTGCACCTACATTTTGCCTCTGAATCAAACTAATTTGTATTTTTATTGTCGAACAAGAACAAAGCAGACAAAGAAGGCAATCTGCCAATTTTAAGACTTCCAAATGAAAACTCATGGATGGTTCTATGGTTTTACTCAAAATTGTTCAATGAAAAAACTGATTTGAAGGCTAATCTAAATTTAAAAATTTATCTTTTAATGAATATCCCTTACGTTACCAGAAAATGGTACGGGTTACTGATTACAGATTTTGCAAACAACATAATGTAATAAGTAATCTCCGAATAAAGGGCACACATACGTAAATGAAAATTCTACTGATTAATTAATTATTATATGTATTACGAAATTCGCCAATTTGTATTTTTGTTGTCGAACAAGAACTAGGCAGACAAAGAAGGCAATCTGCCAATTTTAAGACTCCCAAATGAAAACTCATGGATGGTTCTGAGGTTTAACTCAAAATTGTTCAATGAAAAAACTGAATTACAGGCCAATCTAAATTTTAAAATGTATCTTTTAATGAATATCCCTTGCGTTACCAGAAAATGGTACGGGTTACTGATTACAGATTTTGCAAACAACATAATGTAATAAGTAATCTCCGAATAAAGGACACACATACGTTAATGGAAATCCCACTGATTAAATAATTATATTACAAAATTCGCCAATGGGCCCAGCAGTCTGTCATCTGTGTAAGAATCGACTCGGCACTTATGTATATATAAACTTATATCGGGAAATCCTCAAAGGGAAAACCAGCTATGATCTGGACGTTCTATATATTTCTGATATAACTATAATTAATCAATCAGTGAAATTTTCATTAACATATTTTTGCTCTTTATTCGATTCACTGTTCATTGTTTGTTACTGTGGTTCGACACGCACGGATGTTCGACAAATATAGTTAATAATAATATTTTCCCTCCATTTACTGCTTGTAATCGAACAGTTCGTTGTAATCGAACAGTTCATGTGGTATTCATGAGGGCTGGTGTTCGTGGTACTACTCATATAACTGTAGCTGTACGCTATGGGATTACATCGGAATTTAGTCGGGATAACAAGCTCGTATGCTGAGATGGTATATACTATTATGTAAGCCCATGAAGGTACAACATTAGTATCAAACATCATGTCTTCTACCATCACCTTTATTCCTGGTCACCCACCTCCTCAACACAAAAAGTGGAAGGACTACGACAGGAGGCTGAACAACATTATCCTGACTTATGAAATTATGATGACTTCGAAAGAATGGATTATTTGAAGTGTGTTGGATCCATGGTTGCTTGTTGACTTTAAATATTATTTATATTACATGTACAGTTTCTATTAACATTATCAAACTTTATTATATGTGACTCATAATTGTCCAATGAAAATATATCATTAAATTCAAACGTAATGAAATAAAAGAGAATGAAACTGAGTTGAAAGCTAATCTAAATTAGAAGATTCATCTTATCTACCCAATCGCAGTTCTCTTGTCGAACTTTAGTACGACCTGAACTACGGTTCAGGTAGCGAACTGAGATTCGACAATCGACAGTCTTGTCGAACTTCAGTGCGTGTTGAACTATAGTCCAAGTAGCGCACCAAAGTTCGACAAAGTCGAACTTTAGGGTTTGTCGAACTTCCGTGCGTCTCGAACTATGGTACCTGTACCATATTTCACGCCAAAGGCTTGGAAATTCAGCAGTTATTCCATCAAAAAGTAGAGCCAGTTCAATAGCAAACCTCACCTTGTTTGATAACCCATTTGCAGTTCAGGGACCTAAATTGTGCAATCTGATCCCCTACCATCTGAATGTCATTTAAGATCTCGAGCACTTTAAATATAAGTTCACCAAGTTCATGTTGTCTCTCCCTGATTAGCCGCCAATCAGGGGATATACTCCTCCAAAGTCCAAATACGAACTCTCTGCTGTGCTGGCGAAACGAGCGAAACTTTACTTCACTGTCATGTGCGGTGGTCAGAAAATGTGATGGCCCCGTCAAGTCTTGACGAAACTCAACAATCAACATAGGTCACATAGCTTAGGTAGGTAGCCAGTTAAACTAGCGGGCCGCGATGAATGGGGACTTGCCATCCCATGGAAAGATTCTTCTTCAAACAAACTTTTATTTAGGGTCTAGAGATGGTATTTTAAAAGTCGAATTCGTGGTCTGAACAAATGCTGTGAAAAGAAGTAAAATTAGATGATGGAACATGGATTTCTCGAATGTGAGGTTTGTAGAGACTTCTTGTGACATTTTTGTTTCTAGACGCACAAATACAATATATTATATTTTCTTCAGAAAATAACTGTAAATATTTCAGAGGTCTATTTTTGTGGTGTGTGGTCGACAGGGATCTGGAAAGTCAACAGTGATATCAACGATCTTGAGGACCAACACTCTGTCAGCTACTTCTACACATTTTAGTGACCTACATTTACTATCTGGTAATTTAGCTTTATGTTAATTAAGTTGGTAATGTTTCAGTTTTCGGATTGTTTTTAATTTAGTTTTTGAAGATTTCGTTTCTCACGATTTTATAATCTGATATTATGATTTCAGTGGTTAAGCCACATCTGCTGATAACAGACATCGTAACAGAATCTTCTACCGAACTGCAGAAAACTCTTAAAACTCTAATAAGTTCAACTGGAAGACTCAAAACTTTGATCCTCGAGGTAACCCTCACATCCCCCGATCAATTATCACACCTTGACCTAGATCAAGATCACGATATATTGTGGTATTACACACGGTCCCCCCATGAGATAACGTCCTCACTAACCCTCCCTCCTCAAGTCACCTCTGTATCAGTCGATATATCTCGTGTAAAGGAATGGCAGATTGCGGCGCACGTGCTGCACGCTTACCACACTACACCCGATACATTCAGTGCTCTGTCCACTTTCAGCACTGCCAATTTAACTGTCCTGCAGAATAAAGAAGTTTTTAGCATTTTGATGAAATATTTTAACGGTGTTTCAACTCGAACACTGTGGTATGTGGTCAAGATGCTAAGCCATGTTGTGGAGATGACCATCCAACGGATATCAGATATCAACGAAAACTTTGGAAAGTTTCTTGATATTTACACAAAGAATGTGGGGCTGATGATAGCAAATCAGATAGAGCAGGTTATAAGAATGTTCTCTGGACAGTTTGACCCTTCTCAGATGTTTTCTGTGTTCCCCAAACTTGCTGTTCAATGGGTAATTATAAATTAGTATAATTAGTAGGTATTCTTACACACGTGAATTAGAAGATCTTAAGCACTTGTTAAGTAAGTCATGAAAAATGATTAGTTATGTATAGTAAGTAAGCGAGTGTTTCTAGTAAACAACGTTATTCAATATAATATGATCCACTAAATAATAAACGATTAAAGTCACCAACACTTTCAGCAACAAGTAGAGTGTAACCGTACCTCCACCCTTGCAACCCCCTGCCAAGTTCATCTCCAGAAGCTCCTTTCCGAGTGTAGTGAACACTACTACAAGCACCTTGATATTACCAGTCGTCTCCAGAAAGATGAGGATCATCTGGTGACTGGTGCTCTAATCAACATGCTGGGTTTTGAGGAAGTGGATGAGAAAGTAGATGAGGTGGTGGTGCCTGGAGATGATGGTAATATAGTGATGTCTCCAAGATTCTGTGTCCTCATGATGCAGATGATATTGAGGATGCAGGTTGACGTCCCTGTGATTTTATGGGGAAAGGAAGGTTCCGGAAAGTCCACCTTGGTTCAGTATTTGAAGATGCTGTACCAGAAGAGTGGGAGGCAGTGCATGATAATCTCTCACGATCCCGTGCTACAAGAAGTATCTGAGTTAGCAAGATTGGTACAGTCTGAAGCCTCTTCTCAATCTGATATCGTTGTAATTGTTGTTCAATTGAGCAGACGGGAAGATGTCCAAAATATCTTGAAAATTGTGACAGAAAAGACTTTAGATGGAGAACTAAGCTCATTAAATGTGAGATTTGTTGTGGAGTTTTCGAACGAATCTCTCAGAGAGTGTTTCGATTCTCACTGTCTAATAACTGTTGAAGTGGATCACGTTATTGTTAAAGGGTTGCTCGCGAGCATTGGTCTTCCAACGGAAATTCCTGGACTGTTGTTCACATTGCTTAACAACAAATCTTTTTCTTATAGAAACGTTATAAACTTTACTAAAGTTCACTCCTGGATAGATCAGGTGTTTTACTCAAAATACCGCCATCTTTTGATGCCTACAAGCAGTAACACCGGTCACGAATCATCACTTAAATCTGGATGTGTATTGGTACTGGCTACTGAGATGGTGTTTGGAACCAACAATGATGACCTTCTCGATGAAGTAGCAAAACATTACGACATTTCACAGCAACTCGATATACTTTTATCCTACACTTTGGACAATGTCGCTAAGGTTTTTTTCAAAAGATATAGCAGGCATTTACCAATACCAACAGATTCAGATGATATCTACAGAAGTCTATTGCTAACATTGATTAGTCTGGAAACCCACATACCATTAGTTCTGAGCTCCCAGTTCGTACAGCCACAATTGCTGCAGAGCCTTCTGACTAATGACGGTATCCTAACCGACTACAACTGTAATATCAGTGTGCTAGACAACACTGCTACACCACAAAAGGTGTTACAATGTTACTGGGCGTGCTTAAAGGAAAGTGTTAAGTCTTCTCTTTGCAATAGAGGCCCCTTACAGGTAAGCTCTCGAACTAAACCTGCTCTGCTGTGACAATTTGAATTGGATTCTAATTTCTCGACTAAAATGACGTGGAATTAATATATTACCTGCTGAACGTGGATTATCTATACATTTTGATATATTAGCACTAAGAAACTTTGAAAACCATAGTGCATATTCCAACGTTTAAACCTTTAAAGATAACGATCCTCTTTTTCAGCACGGGGTTGTTGTCTGCGACGGATATTCGTCCCTAAAATCAGCTGCAACCAGACGAGTGATCTCAGAACTGGTTAAATGCAAACCAGTCCGACCCCTTACTCCTGACATCTCCCTTTTTATACTGGTACAAAAGGGAACCGCTTCTAAGGAGCTGGGGTGCTGTCTTGATCTTCTTGGATCTGGCGTGGAGATTGAACAAGATAATGTTCCTGATGTTAGCTATCAAGATGCTATTCACTCTGACAGTGAATCAGACATAACGGAACACTCAAATTACAGTATCTTGTCAGTTGATGAATCTACAAAACCCGATTTGCAAGAAACTGATGTCAGTGATTCTTTCTCTCTGTTCAAATGGATCAGGAAAAGGGTTCTCCCACAAGGGGGAAACTTCCAGAATATTGCGGTAAGGTTTTAACACGCCCGACAAGTCGAATATCATTAGCCAAACAATCAATGTCATGTGACATGACGTATCGAGCATGGAACTCAATGTAAGATAACTGATTTAGCTTTAAAATTCGCACATTTAAATTGCAATTACAATCGGCTGTTATTTCAAATATCATATTGTCAAATTATGATCCTTCAAGTTAGATATATGACGTCATATTCTATTATTACCAGAGTGCAGTACTGATAATAAGACAGGTGCTGAAGCGAGCAGAACCTGACAATGACCTGAAAACACAGCTAGAGGGGACACTGGATAAGTGGGGGGAAGTACTTCCTTATCTCTGTAATCTACCTCCCTCTATTGTGGCTACAGCTGGCGACCTTGTCAAGGTAAGTAGTAATATCTACCAAACTTTTATTGCTTTAATAAACCGTTCAGGTAGGATGTAGGATGTAGGGTCAGGTGACTTCGTCAGAGATTATTAATGTTGCCAAAACCCTTGTTAGCTTATTATATTGCAGTAACCTACAGCTACCCATTTGCCAGTAACCAGTAACCACATTATTAACAGTTGACCAAGAAGAACTTTGTATCACATCTGGTAGAGATACGAATAGGAGACCTGTGCTGTAAGCAGATAATATCTTGGAGTAACGCGTATTCCTTTTACACTGAAATTAAAGTACTAGCCTTTGACACGATCAGTGACAACCTCAGGTCAGTAAGAATGACTAAAGTTAGAGCTCTTTAAGCAACCCCAAACAGGTTGCTTTTAAAATACATTTATTGAGTATTATGTAACGCGATGGAAATATTTTAAGCGGGCAATATCCTGATTCCTGTCCAAACCCAGGATACATAACAAGAAGACTTTGTTGTAACTTTGTATGAAAAGCATTAATATAAAACATCTGACAGCACTTTGGATACGTCACAAATAAAAATCATAATTTAAAGAATGAATTTTGTAACTCTTGCATCGGTTCATTATAAAATCGGGCAGGACGATCACTGAACATCTGTTGTGGTTTTGCGAAATGAGTTCCGTGTTCTGTAAAGTAAAGAATGCAGACCTGTCTCAACATTTGAAGGTAATTTCCAACAGCTGATTTTGCATGATTCAACTCTCTGGTTATTAGCCCCAATCTTACGGCATATAAACAGATCTATCAAGGGATTTAAGTTTAAGATATAATCAGTAATCACCTGTATTATTACAGGTAGCGAGCGACATTACATCTGGTAAAGACACCAGCTTCAGTAACTTCTCCTCTTGGCTGGATTACCAGCAAGATAACAGAATACTGGTGTACTATCTAACTTTACTGATAAGAGATAAGGACCTTATCTTACCCGACTTGATGGATATTGTCAGAGGGGTTCTGAGAGTTGTTGGGAGTGTGGAGGTACTTTGTGTCCTTCTTCGAAGTCTTGTACGGTGAGTTATGCGATGTAGTAGCTTTGTTGTGCTTCAATTTCTTTTATTTTTGGATATTTTTTAGAAGTCATACGATTTGTAGACCGTCGCGTTGTAGTTAACTCTGTTTACCAAAACCGAAAAAGGAGCTTGACAAATTATCTAATGCGAATCGTAAAATTGGTCCACAAATGTCTTGATAATAGAAGCAATTTCAGAAAGTATAACGTAGAAGCGCTTGATAAGATATGCGATGACATCGGTCAAGTCCTTCCCTCTAATACTGCTATCGTATCTGCTTTAGTTTGTGTTTATCAGGTATTTATATGCTATAGTTTTGAAACTGTTCATCTTATCTTTTTTTTATTTCAGATATAATTCACTGATTTAATTGTTCTTACAGTGTACAATTCACTTCAGATCATTATTTGGGGAACTATGTTTAACATAGAATCCATAAGAAAGGTTTAAATTGTCAGGAAGAAGAAGAGAAGAGAATGGTTCACCTAGAAACTCTCCCGAATACAGTCACTGTAAGGAATGTTGCTTTGGTCCGACAAAGTGTTCTCTACTGCGCCCGCCTTTTAGTGGTTAGATTTTAGATTAGCCAGGACCTTAGCATGTAGCTGCAGGTTTATGCCTAATGGCTGACTTTGTGTCAATTTAAAATGCACACTCGTATAATCATATTGCAGTTGAACCGAAAATATTGTCACAAGGTTAACTCACTAATTTTCATTGAAATTTTGCTGATGGGCATTTGAAATGAAACAGCAGATCTATATCATGCGATTCAAAGTAAAACTAAAAATATCTCATTAACTTGGAAAAGTTACAAATAATATCAGTCTAACAAGTGTACCCAACTGCAATCCACTCCACATTCCACTCCCACTCCTCCGCTTTACCACCCTTAGGGTTGTGTCCAGGTTCTCTTCCACCCTCCAGATACATGGTGAACCCTTTAGTGGTGGTGGAGTACACTGCTGAGGTGCCGGTTGCCCTCCAGTGGTAACCTTTACCCTCGACCGAGGTGGTGATAGTGGGGATCTTCACGTACCCACACTTGCTGATGTCCACTGTCAGTTTTAGTCCGTGTGTGCTGTAGCCTGCCCAATCTGTAGTGTCCCGTCCGGTGGTTCCAGCGCAGACTTTCACACATTTAGCGTCTCCTGCTTCCTCCTCACCTCCCACTACCATCACTTCTTTGTTCATTCCGGCGAACTCCGCTTTTGTCTCCGCCAGCGATTCTTTCAGCTGTGTGATTTGTTCAGTGATAGCTGTTAGATTCGCGTCCTTCTGCAAGTCTCCAACCACCACCTTGGTCTGTTGCACGTCCTCTTGAGTCGCCTTGAACGAGCTCGACAGTTTACCGATTGCTTCGACAACAGATGTTTTCAGCTGTTTCACGTATGATCTCGTGTCAGACATGGAAGTTGTATAGCGAGCCATTTTGTCTGCCAGGTCGGTGACGAGCTCGTTGAGGGACACGATACTCTGCATTGAAGTTAAGAGAAGGTCCTTCAGATTCTTGACCTCGACTGGGTCAGCAGTAGCAGCCTTCTTGCTTGCCACCGACATCACCACCATGGATAGTACCATAGATCTCAAAATCGCCATGTTAAATTTAAGACTTTGAAACCTAACTCAATTGAAGATTGAACAACTTGACTTATTAATTTACTGTCTACTAGACGGTATTTATAATACCACTGTACTGCAGCTGCGCTATAATTGTCTTGATAACTCCAAACTTTCGGTTATTGATAAGTACCTCTCCCTGATTTATCATTAAATAGGAGAAAATTTGAAACTAATCTACTGTCATGGTTGGCAGCCATTGTCCTATTTATTACCCATCAGTATTCTCAGCATGATGTTGAATTATTTCAAATTTCTCTGATTTAAGCGTTATTAAAGTAGAATGACTGTTAATTTCAAAGTGCACCATCTGAAACTGAAAGTTAGAATTTTGAGGCCTGAACACACATACCTGGAATATTGGAAGGTGGAGTAAGTGATGCAATATTCCGACAACAATATTATATAAATTATAAGCTAAAAATAGGAATTATAAATCACCACAATTGCAGGATTTCTACGATAATTCCAACAGAGAACTAGATGTGGACGTTGAGGCTTATTTCATTGCCAAAAACTCAGCTTCCAGCTTTTGTGAGTACCCACCAAGTTATTACTCAAATATAGGGGAACGTTTTAGGTAATGCTTAACTGGATAAAACTGCAAATTTTTATAAATTGTACTTGCGTCAATTCCATCAACGTATTTCCGAATTGTTAAGATCAATTTACTGAATGATAGTTTTTGATTATTGGCAGGTATTCTGAAGACACTGATATCAGAAACCGATAATTCTGCTGTAAGACAGTATATCTTAAAGCATCTGCTGGACAAAAGTGGTACAGAATGTTTGAAATACTGCTTATCAGCCCTTCCAGCCTTGCAACTTGATACAGTAAGTCTATACCAGTTTATACTCTGTCAGTGTAAATACCTCAACTAATTAAACTGGAGCTGCCTGTTTTAGCTGACTATATGATGGTATCCTACAACGATTTTGACAAAATTAATTTACATTACTGATTTATTATCGATTTCATTGTCAGATTGTAACCTCTGTAAGTTTTGAGTGAAACAATGAAATTAGGTCAGACGCATTACATTCTCTTAAATTGTTACAGTGGAGGAAACAGAGACATTTTTACGAAAAAAAATTGTAGATTCTAAATTTTAGAATATTACGGAGACCGTCCATATATCATATTTTTATTAGTTATTAAATAAATATATCAAGTATAATTGACCATACAATTTAAAAGAGTAGTTGTGGTAATAAACCTGCGATGCGGTGGCATGAGCCTCAATAAGATATTACGTAAAGTTTTATTATGATAATTATATAATATTCAAACAAAATCAATAAATATTATAATGATGGATCGTTCACTTTAAATATAAAAGTAAAAATAGCCTACACTAAAGAATCAATAATCTATATCATCAATCATGTATATAATATTAATCAATTTTCTCAACGAACTACCGAAAAATTATTGATAGCTAGCACTATATTGATAATACATTAATTACTCCAAATTACTCCGAATTACTTAATACTAGCAGGAACCCGTCTAACCCTAAATGGTGTCAAGACTCAAGAGACTAAAATAATTATTACCTATTTAATTCGTGTTTTTGACATCACTGGGGGCCGGGGGGTCCAAATTTTGGGCACTAAAATTCTTATTCCTTGGCACATTTTTTATTTTTTCATGCTGATTTGAAGGCGATTAAGGCTTTTGACCCAGTCAAAGAAGTTTCAGTTTTATATCTTTTACGGTTTTTGCGGAACGTCGTGTTTAAGTTAATACCGTGGTGTCTGTAAAATGGTACGGATATCGTCTCGCTTTATATATACAGGGTGAGTTGAAGATAGTGTAGTAAGATTAAAAGCTTGATGTAATAGTGAGCAATAGTCGCCTGCATACATACACATCTCGTTATCACTCTCAGATTCACACATATAGTTACCCTCGTTAGTCATATGTTTTAACAAGGTACTTTCGAGCTTACAAAATGATTCCAATGCTGCCTTTCCGGTGTTTTCAATAAAATTATTAAATTTACCTACTCGCCTCATCATTTTCGGACGAATAAACATATTCAAATCTCTCGTTACAAAAATTAGGCAGCAATAAACCCGGGCTCTTGAAACAGTAATGTAAAGTTTTGATAAAAGTTGATCCATGGTATCGTCTTCATTTGACAATTCATTTAAAGCAGACATTGTTACCTTATTTTCATGACAAAACATCCTTCTGGAAAATTCAACGTTGCATATAACTGCTGGCCACTCAGCGGAGAAAGTCTCATCAAAATTGTGAACAGAGGCCTGCGATGGAGAATCTAAACCACCGAGAGTTTTCTCACACTCCTCTTTCCAGTCTAAATCGTCCTCCCCTTTTTCGATCTTACTAAAAGTAATATTTCGATTAACCACAATGGCAACATCAGTAGAACCAAGTTTTGATAGTTGTGCTTTTAAAATCTCACTCACCATGGCTGTTATGGCAAGTTTGTTTGACCAAAGGGTGAGAAGTTGATATAGAACTGGTTTCAGGCCATGAATGTAATGCCCAATCTCTTGATCAAGCGCCATGTACATGTAAAATGTCTTGAAGTGCTCCTCAGTTGGCATGTCCATGTCCGCTACACCCCGAAAACTGTTAACATCATGATATTTTAAAAGTTCCTTTCTTTCATTCTCCAATCTCAGCGCCCTAATAGAGGACAACAGGTCGGCTATCTGACGACTGTTCCTTAACACATTTGGTATACACTGGAAACATTCCTTATCTTTCACATTTTTCATGACTTCCCTCATCGTAAAGCAGGTTCGGTTATGCTGAGTTAAAAATCCATCCTGGAGGATATCGTAGGTCACCCAAAATAGTCCCGGTGAACTAGAGTTGAGCTCAGTAAAGACGATACTGTAGAGATCTACGGTTGAGTTGCGTGCCATTCCAGCTGTCAAACCATGGAAATCGTCCAAAAAGACATGGTTATTTGTCTTTAATATAGCTGTGATTGATTCGAGTCTGTAAGATTCATCAACTTCCAGTTTTCCTTTCACAAAATCTCCTTTGTAGTGTACAATAAATACTCTGGACTCTGTTTCTGCTTCAAAACTTGCTTCATTAATGTACTCATACAAGACGGAGCTGACATTTGCAGTTTCTAAATGTTGCTGGTAATATTTTGCTACAGTTTCGTTAAGGACCACGACAACTACTTTTTCCTCAGAATTCTCCAATAACTCCACTACTTTCCCCATTATAAGCAATTTTTTTCCCGGACCCCGCCGGGCCATTAATCCAAAGCTTCTTTTTTTTATTCGTCAGCACCGACTTTTGGCTCTTTGTTATGAATTCTATATTCAACATTCGTAAAGTTTTGGTTGCACCCACAACAAACGAAGATACAGGCTGTTGAATTGAACTGACTCTTGATATTTTTGATATCCTTAATAGACAATCCACATCCTTGATAGTCTCGGACAAGTCGACTTTTTTCAAATTTATTCTGTCGTTTATGTCATCGTAGCACCACATCCCTAACAAAATCATCATTAACGTTTCCTTAACCAAACCGTCTTGAGAGCCTCTGAAACAAGAAACTGCCTTACCGATTAGATTTTTCCAGAACCCATCTTGTGAACTTTCCTGGCTAATCTCCAAGCGTTGGGACAAGTTTGAATTTTCCCCCTCGAGATCGTCCATGAACAGTATACTTTCTTTTTCTTCAGGCGATAGCTTCTCATAACATGAATATTTACTGACTACACTTCTGTCGACATTACTGAACACAGTAAAGTCTAAGACTTCTGGAGGGGTCAACTGCATCCACTCGCATATCCCGAAAATAAGATCTTTTGTTCTTTTTCGTTGCTTTATAGAGTCCTTGTAGTTCCATACGAAAGTATTATTTGCGTTTTTTGATGTTTCCCAAATAGGTACTTTAACCTTCAAAGCCCCCTCCCGGGTTGCAACATTGCCATGTTACGCAAATAATTGCCGCGCTAACAAAATATTTGCCATCTTTACTTAGCAAAATATGCGCCGTACTGTTATGATGTATTTGCCAGGCTGCGTGTGATGATGCAAATATTTCATAAGGAGGCAAATTTTACGTTAGGAAAATGCGCATTCTTAGCAAAATATTTGCCAAACGGTCTGACGCGCGTTGCACGCCAGTGGCGTAACGTTGCCTGTTGGCGCCCCCCTGCCGAAAAGGCGCCCCCCTGTTGGCGCCCCCCCCCCCCTTTTGGTGCCCCTCCCTAAAATTGAACAAATTAGGTGATTTTAGAAGATACGCCGGTAAAAATCTCTAAAAAAGTGTGTATCTAGAGCAAAACGCGCATTTTTGCTAGTACTTTAGTTAAGTTTTCGAAATTGTCCCACATTCAAACGACGATTTGGCGCCCCCCTAAGACGGCGCCCCCCTGCACAGCGGGGTCAGCAGGGCCCTTCGTTACGCCACTGTTGCACGCTCCTTTTTAGTTTGTTTACGCGAGAATGAAATCTTCGCATTGTTAGCAAAATATTCGCATCCTTATAATTTATTTGCGCGAGAGTTAAATCTACGCTTTATGTTACACAAATACATGTCCTTATAGTTATACTTAAATAACTTAAATCTACTTATCTATTGTCATACGTTGTATGACCCGCCTGTATCGTCGAAACTCTACAGTGAAGCGACCGTGGGGGTCACCACGTGATACAACTTATCTACGCTTTCTTAGCATAATATTTTCCGCCTTATAATTTATTTGCGTGAGAGTTAAATCTACGCTTTCTTAACAAAATATTTGCCGCCTTATGTTTTACAAATACATGTCCTTATAGTTATATTTATGTTAAAACTACTCATGTTAACATATTGATTTAATATTTGTTGAACTGGAAGGCACGGTAATTGAACTTTAGCTCTTTATACACTGAAGTACACCAAGAAGCTACCTATCAATCTTTAAGTTCAAAGTTGTTATAGTGTTAGCAGTTAAAACTTTGAACTTCATCCCGTTTCAAATTTCAAACTTCAGTACGAATTATTGCACTTATGCGCCGGACGCCGGTTATACTTATAATGAGGTCCAGAATTAAGTCACGTGAAATTTTTGGGCGAGCGAATTAGTAAAAGCTACAAAGTGTACCGGGGACCCCAGGCTATTATGTTAATAAACATGTTCATAAACTTAAAGGTTCTGCGGATTGACAGGCTGAGCACCGCCAGCCAGTAACACAAAGTAAAACATTATATTATTCGTATGTTTCTACAACAGACAATATTACAGAACTGCAGTTCACCTCATCACGGGTCACTGCGGCTTAAAAAAACACCTTCACACCATTTGCAAATCTAACACCAGTGCTCGTCCTATGTACTGTGCGGCGGCGGAGAGGAAACTGTCTCACACTTCCTTTGACAGTGTCCGGCCATTGCCCAAATTAGAGGTCAATATTTCGATCCAGGACTATAACCTCTCTGTCAATGACTTGACACACGCTGCAACCCCTTTTGATCGCGCGCTTCGCGCGCGGCCGGCCGAGGTATACAACGTGTAGCAATCAATGACATAAATTCGATAACCAACACATCACCACAATTGTCAATTTGGCAAACCGCACCAAACGCTTAATTGTGCCGGAAGAGCTGGATCAGACCGGGGTGACTTAAAGTATTATCTTTGACATACGTTGCATGCCACTTTTCGCGCGTGAAGCGCGCGCCACCGAAGGCTGTCTCGAAGGCTGTCTCGAAGGCTGTCTCGTCTCGTTTTTACTTTTTCAAACCCAGCTGGCATTTAAGCGTATCGATTCTGACTCATATTAAGACGCAATGAAACTACCGGACTGCGATGTATGGGGACTTGCCACCCCATGGCAACATTAA